ACCTGCTGTGGTCTTACCTCTTTAGCTCAAATATGTACTGGATTCCTGTCGTCCCCCTGGAGAAATCATTGTCAAGGAGGGAAATATTTGCTTGACAAGGGAAGATTTCTGGACACTTGGACAGGATCGCTGGATGGAGTCAAATGTAAATGCTACTGTATCGATTGACAAAAGATCGAACACATCTATCATAGATGAAGCATTGTGGCACATAGATAAGCCTTAGTCATGTATTTACTTTGACCTCCATTTGTTTCAGATTGGAAATGCTTGCTGCAAAATAGTGGCAAAAACAGCACACAAATGTGTAAGTTTCCATTCTACTATTGGTAATGGTGATTAAAACAAACATTTAAACAAAATATATCTACTTAGGGAAAGGATGTGCATATTTTTGATATGTATACTGTACCCACATGGAAAATGTCGGACCCTTATCTGCTCTACCTGTGAGCATCTCTATTTATTTATCTACCATATTTGTGGTGTATGCTTACAAATGTCATGTGTAAATATTTCTTCAAAGGATAATTTGAAAGCAAAAGATGTCATTGTCTTCCCAACATGGACCAAGGACCATTATATACTCTGTGTAATATCATATTTCTTGAAAATATGTAGTATAATTTCAGATGCTTTAGATATGTGTTCATGAATATTGACTGCTGAATGATTTCAGGTTCTAAAATACTAGAAATTATGTTCATGGCCTCGTTCTAAGGCCACGTATTTTATGCATTAGGCAGTGTTCTCAGGCCACTTGTTACTAATGAGTATTTTATGGGATAGTGTTGTTTTACATTTGGTTCTCTGTTCCAGACGTATAGCTGATTTTCTCAACCCTGAGCTCTGGAAAGAAAAGAATGGGGAAGACCTCCCAGTATGTGATCCCACTATAAATTGTTATATTATGCTTTTTTTCTACAATGTTAACTTTTGACTGCTCTCAGAATTTCCCCCTGCAGTCGTCTGAAACTGACTGTGGTATCTTCATGTTGATGGTATAACGGCTAAGAATTCATTTTGATGTACTGCTGTGCATTATTTATTTTCATTCTTATCTTTGTAGTATGCCCTCTCCATATGCACCAACGCACCATTCACTTTCATCCAGGTATAACGCTCTTATTAGTAAGCAAAATGCTTGGATATTCTGGTATGTATTTAAATACCTATGTTTTGCCTATTTTTCAGAGTGACATGCCAAATATCAGGAAGTGGTGCCTTCAACTCATGGAGAGATTTGGCATTGATGGGTTAGTTGTTTTTGTTGTCATTTATATGTCAAGGACCATTCACAACAATAGAACACTATTCAAATATGTTTATTGATGGAGCACAAAATCTTAGGCTTCATGATGCTGGGTGACACTAGTTGGGATTTTGTGTCTCAAGTTATCTTCAGGGACAACTGTGTGATATGAGAAGATACAAGATACTGTAGAATGAAATCATTATTCACCATGTTGTACAAATGATTGGCTGTTCATAGACGAGGACATCCTTTTGCCCATTGGAGCGACAAGGCGGAGGGAATAATCAATGGCTCCCTGAGTCCCATCTTCAGGGTGCCCAGGAAAAGGCCTTCCCAGTGAGGACCACATTGACAGGGTAATCTTGACTGTCCAGCATTTTCCCACACTGCAGATTACTGTAGATACACTGACCCTTGTCCTTGATTACTTGTAGCCGCGACGTCCCTCCGGGCCCTATACTGCACTACTACAAGAGCCTGTAACGGCCCAGGACTCCGTTACATACGTTATAATTTGTATGTGTAATTTTATTTTGTATTTTTGTATTTTTATTTATTTCAAACATGTATATACAGACAAAATGTTTCACTTCACATGAATTCTGAGCAAATGTTTGGAATTGGAGGGAAGATAATTGAAAAATAAAAGATTTGCATTGGGCCTGGAGATGGATTGTTGTTTTTCCCTGAAGTCCTGGAGATGGACATTATCTGCCAACAACATACTATTGAGATATTGCATTACTATATATGGAGGACTTTTGAAAGTGTGGATGTCTGGAACCTGCACATCAGCACCAAGTTCCACCAACAGTAGGACGGTTGTAATCATGCCTCTTTAAAGCTGGGGTTATTTTTCATAAATACATTTTGTTTGTCTCAATATGAATGGTCTTGTAAAAGTAATGTGTTTTAAACAAATCCGGAACTAGTTACATTCATTTTATCACAGGTAAATGTTGTTTTGGTTTTAAGTTAATTACTATTTAGTCAATTTTAGGCCTGGATAATGTTTATTTGATACTTATAGGCTTTCCTTGACATTTAGTGTGTGACCTAGAGAGGGCGCCATAAAACCCCCCATTTGTGAGTCCCATTGTTGCAAGAAAAACAATTTTAATAATTTATCCCGTTATCTTACATTCATAGATTGTCAAGTCTTGTTGAACACATTTATTTATTGGGCAAAAACAGTAAAGGACAGTGAATCCAATCAAGAATCAACCTGTCTATGTATGCGCCTCATTTCCGTGTGCCTTTGAACGCTTCTGGGCACGAGCTGCGCGGCTACAAAAAGTATTTTTTTCTCGGAGCTCTTTTTCTGCCATTTCTCGTAATAAACCTTGATAGATGTGAGCACAAATCAATAATATAATGTGTATATGACAACACAAACGGTTAACATGTTTATTTACACTTTTTGACATGCGCAAACTGAACTTCCGGACGAATCCGGTTTCCGGGAAATGTAGTACCACTGAAAAGGTTGAGAGGGCGCCACATACGTTTTTTGGCTCAAAAGTGAGATTTTATCTAATTTGCACTAATGTCAAAAATGACCAGGATATGTAGAGAGCACTACAATAAACATATTTATGTCGCTCTTTAAGATACTGTCAGGGCTGCTCCTCCAGCAGCCCCTCCCTCCCCTGCTTCTCCTGGCGCTGCCTCCCAGAGCAGGTGTGTGGGAGAGGCTGATCGGGCCCAGCTGACTCCAGTCTACAATCAGGCCTCTACAAGAGCTCCAGAAGCCAACACAACGGTGCTAGAAGGGATGCTTTTAAGGGCTCAGTGATAGAAGCAGGGTGGGAGTGGAGCATGGAGGGTATTTTGGGAGAGGGGCTTAATCAAGAGAAGGCATGGAGGGCACTGTTTTATTTTTTAAATTCAACAAAAATCATAAATAGACTGTAACATTGTACCAAAGGCATGGAGTATTACGCTCTGATACAGTAGGTGGCGGCATACGTCAATGCTGATTCGTAGCCCGCCATAAAATTACAGAAGAAGAAGAAGAAGACAACGGTGCTAGTTTGAAATCTGTGTTACAGTACGTTTAGTGGGCCTGTCATAATCGCTCTTGCTACCTTTGTACTTACCTTTTTTTTGTTCTGCCTCAGACCTCCGTTCCGCACCTCCTGCTCCCAGCCCAGCACCGCCTGATCCATGCACCTGTCCCGGCTCGCCTGTGTTTTGAGATTCATATTTTTGTTCATTTAACTTTTTGTTACCCCTGCATTTGGGTTCCTTGTCCGACGCATATCAGTTACACAATGTGACATGGGCTCTAAAACAGTTATGCGGTGAAAACAAAGGAAGGACTTAAAATGCAGGAATGTAAAATACAATAAGTGATGAAATTAAAGTTAAAGGTGAACTGAACAGGGGAAAAACACAGACAGAACCAGCAACAAATGAAGAGCACAGAGAGACACAGGTGAGATACTTTTGGGCGTGGGCATAGACTGTAGGGCGTGAACAAGACAGGAAGTAAAGCATCCAAAATACAAACAAACATACAGAACATTTGAAAAAAAATATTTGCGTAGAACATTTACTTTGTTCACAATATGGAATATGTTAGTGTTTGAGTTCTCACACACATGGGGAGTGGGTCTTGTACTGTACTGTGAGAGAAGATTTGTTCTCGTGGAGAAACGGAGTGAAGGCAGAGTCAAACCCGTATTCTATTGTGAGAAAATGTTTTTTCCTGTGGTGGGGGGTTCAAATACAGGCCATGTCCACACGCAGCTGGTTATTTTTTAAAATAAATATTTCCCCCCCAATCCGTCTATAAAAATATTTGTTTCCACGTTACTCCGTTTCTGAAAAAAAACCTGTTCCATACATAATTGAACAACCTGCATTTTCAGTCACACTCGTAAGCATTCCGAACCTGTAGATGGCATTATTTCCCCAAACCCTACCCTACCCTATCAGAATAGCGCTCTGTCTGTGCCACTTCTGCCTAAACATAAACAACATGGCGCCAAGTTCCTTCATGTGGACCGGCAAGGAATCAGAGCTGCTTCTAAATACATGTTTGGAATATAAAGTTCAAAAGACGCAGGAGAACATAGATTGGGAATATTGTCAAAGTAAATATGTGGACATATTGGCCCTCATGTATGGAACTTGCACAGAAAAAGGTGTAAATTTTGTTGTACAGATTACGCAAAATACGCAAAATTTATGAACGTGTGAGGTCTGCCCATATAAGAGCATACACACCTGCTCCTGTTGATAAATGTGGCAGCTGAAAATGAACATAATTAAGAAAGTCACGCCAGTAAATATTCAGAAACCGTCTCACGCCTTATTTTTACGACATGGCAGGAAGAACTTCACGAAGCAGGAGATAGATGTCATCATGAATGAAGTGGAAAAGAGCAAATAATATTGTTTGGAAGCCTCAAAAGTGGCATAAAGGGGGCTATAAAAAATAAAATATGCTATTACAGCCTCCGTAAAGAGCGTGGGGCCTGTGCCACGCACTCCTGAGGAGGTGAGTTCATGTTTGCTAAAGAAATATACCATGTCAAATAGTTGACAATTATTGGGCCAGTAGTTACCATTAACCATTTATGCCTACAGGTGAAAAAAAAAATGGAGTGACCTAAAAATTATCACCAAAAGGCGTTTAGCTGCCCACAAGCGCAGTGCTCAGCAGACAGGGGGAGGACCACCAGACCGAAGCCTCTTGTCTGCAACTGAGGAGCGGGTTACTGCGCTCATCGGTGGGGCCTCAATCGTCGGTGTCTTGGGGGATGAAGGGGACACAGACCTGATCGAGGAGACTGTTCTAGGTAAGTAATACAATTCTAGCTAAATATGTCTCAATGAAAGCAGATACATCCTTAATTGTATGTTTTTATTGATTGTAGAAGTGCCAGGAACAAGTGGCAGTGCACTGCAGGCTGGGCCAAGGGAAGAGACTGGAGATGTGCCCCTGGCCGCTGCTTCCCAACCCCGCACATCCCCGCCTCTACGACGGGCCTCGGTCCTGACTGAGGAGGTGCTGGACAGGCAGACGGAGATTTGGAGCCAGCTGGTGGAAATAAACATGAACTTGCTATTAATTAACCAGACACTTTTTCCGTGGAATACAGGAGTGTACCCCCGGCTTGTCCCAGGCAGAGCCATCTTTCCCTTCAGAAGACCTGTGCAGCACTCCACAGTGGCACGTGTCTTTGAGTGCGCTTGGTTGAAGCGCTGCTCCTGCGGTGTTTGCGCATCAGCAAGGGGAGTTATCAGATATTCTCATAACGGATAGCCTCTGTCACCTAAAGCATGACATGCAGTGATTCATTGGTATATTACACAATGCATTATTCGCTTCTTGGGGCTCTCTCCTCCAGTCTTCGGCCCACACTGCTGTGCTGGAATATGAAGGCATCGTGGGTGCTCCCTGGCCACCGGGCGACCACATTAAGAAGCCGCAGTCGGGCATCACAAATTATCTGCACATTTAAGGAATGATACCGTTTCCTATTCACATATGCATAATCATTAACCGACGGTGGTTTCAGACGCACATGCGTGCAGTCCACTGCCCCAATAACGTTAGGGAGGCCAGCAATCTCATAAAAGTCCCTCTTAATCATTGATTGCTGGTCATTGTCATATGGGAATCTTATATAATTTGGGACAAGACCCCGGATAGCTGCCAGTACAGACGGCATGATGCGGCTTAAAGATGACTGGGTGATTCCTGACCTTTCAGCTATTTCCCGTTGGAATGACCCGGTGGCCAGGACACCCAGCGTGGAGAGCACCTGCAGTGGCACCGGAATGGCACGAGAACGCCGGGTCTGCCGTCCCAGCTGCGGCTCTAACTTCTCGAACAACTGGACCAAGACGTGCCTTGGCAGATGGAAGCGGCTTAGTAGCCAGTCATCAGACTCACTTAAGAAGTCACTCCAATCACGGAATGTTCTTTCTCTTCTTAATGCAGCATGCACATCTTCCAAGAGCGCTAGATCTGCCATTGTCGAGGGTGGTTTGGTGAACTCATGCCTCAATTTTAAGCCGGGGTGGACTTGCATGAACCAATTGCTGTTGCGCACTGATTACGTGATCAAATTAGGTGCTACACATTTTCACACATTTGTGACTCTTGCCAGAGTGGGAATATATTTATTTTTGTCAAACTTGAATTACATACGTGTTTTCTGTGTGTTGTGATGAAGGTTGAAATGGGTGTAAATTGTACACCTCCTCTAGACACAGCGTATATATTTTGGTCGTAGCATACGCTTAAGATTGATAAATGCGGAAAAGTGTAAATTTTTTGCATACGCCTCTTTTACACCCTGATTTGGCCGTACGTACGTTTCATAAATGAGGCCCATTGACACTATATTTGGAGCAGTATCCCGCGGAAAGCTCTAACATGGGAAAGGGCAAGCTAACGCTTCATATCTTAAACAAACAAAAATCAAAGCTGTGAGTAGCAAATATTGTTTTCAAATATCTGAACAGATATGCGGTGGTTCTCCTGCAACCACAACCATACAGTGTGGCATAGAAACTCATGACTTGAATGACAGCCTCTCTGTTCCCGCGCCTACTGCGACCTCCTCGTCCACCGTGGAGCCATTCCATGCTGCTTCAGACACCGAGCAGGAGAGCAGTGTGACACCCTCAGGTAAACTAAGAAGAGACTTGTTGCAGGTAAAGTATGTGCAGTTTTGCTTAAGAGTATTTACAAGGATGTGTATTTGCCACATGCATATGACTTCTGATGTAAAGAATGCAGAGAAATAGATGGTTCCTTTGCTTGTTGTGCAGGGAGGGTCAGGATAAGTGTGTGTGTGTGTGTGTCATGCAGAAGTCATCTGGATGTTGGAGTTGCACTGAAATAACAATTCGGAATATGAACTTTTGATTTTTTTCATTAAAGGAAAAATTGAATGGACATCGGCACAACCAGATGAGGAGAAAGCTCTCAGCGGAGACCCAGGGCTTCATGCAGTGGAAGAGGACCAACGTGTAAGGAAGAGATTGGTGGACTTTATGGAAACGTCAGAGAAGCAAGCAGCTGATAACTTTGCTAAACTTTCAGATACTCTTAGCATGTTGACTAAAACCAGCTCAGTTATAGAGCATTATCCTTTGGGCCCGAAGGTTGTAGGTTCGAATCCACCATGAGACCTTCTTCATGACTCCCACTAATGACTGCTGTTGTTGTGTATTTGGGCAAGACACTTAACCCCACTTTGCCTGAAGTCCCCCTGTGGACTCACCACCTGCCCGACCCAGAAATGGATTAAGGGGAATAAAATGGATGGATGGATGGACAAGCCATGCAGTTTCCAGCGCCTCAACCATCACACTACATGCCATATGAAGCAAGAGGGAACATGTTGTGTTATGTACAATCAACACATCCTAATCCAGCTTTTCAGTCGCTCTCAAAAAGCTCACCTCCTGTCAGAGGAACACAGTGGAATGCAAGTAACACACAAGACACAGCTCATTCCTGCACAACTCCTGGCAACAAAAGTTTTTTTTACACTCAAGCACTTTTCAGTGATTAATACTGATCATATCTCTAAAGTTTTCTTGCAGGGAACAGGCCGACTGGAACACAAGCTCTGGAGATATCTAGGCACACAGGAAAAAACAGGTAAGTATCCAGCGAAGTAACTTCGACAAAACCAGTTGCTGCAAAGCTACCGAGCACGATGGAATATCTGGCAGTGTGGTGCTGAGAAATCCTGGTATTCATACTGGTCTTGATTAGTAATGAAGGGCAGGTGTTGAGACTGCTCATGAGAAGTTAGCCACGCCCCTGCCACACACTGCTCTGCTGCAACAGAAAACACAGAGGGGAGGGGAACAGAACTAGCCTGGCCATAGCCATCCGTACACTCCGCTCAATCATCATTTCACTGCATGTAACGTCTGGGTTTGGTCCCTGTGTTAGCGAATACAATCGGTCGTATTTCGACCGGCAACTCAGAGAGTGCGGAAGGCGGATGTTGTAGGTCGGTGCCAGTGACGTCAAGAGTTTGCGCCAAACGGGCAGGTTGTAGTTTGGCAATGGCGAAGAACGCGATAGTAAAGTAATCCGGTCTGGTTCTATCAAGAAATTGAAGCAGGAGCAAGAGGATTGTTTAGCAAATGTAATCGCTGGTCAAGATTGTGGCGCTACTCCCCACGGGCTCCGTTAGCAGCAAAGGATGGCTAGGCTAAATGCTAAATGCTAACAACAGATTTGGGCGCATTACATACATCACGGTAAACTCGGATCCAATCGTTTCAATCTGCAAAAGGAGTTAACCCCTCCCACCTGTTCACGGAGCTCAATGGAGCAAATCCAGACCTTAGTATGAAATGTAATTTGAACTAAGGTGTGGTACAACCAGACTAGAACAGAACCAAAACCATAACAGAAATGTTTGTTTTGACAAGTGCAATATTTTTTTTGTGTGCACAACCATACAAAACATGTGTACATTCAACTGAGGTGATGTCATAACAAAGAACAATAATAATACAAAAAAATGCAACTTCAGTCAAACAGCTTCAAAAACATCATTGGCCCCTTCATGGATCCAGGTACCGGGTTAGGATTCTCCTGACCCTTTTCCCTTCAGCTGTCAAGCTGTCTCCTCTGACAGCGGCTGGTTCTGCGTCTGGCTGGTTGTCCCTGTTCTGGTGAATGGCTTCAATAACAAAGTTGTCATCTATTGTGTCTTTAGAGGCCTCACAGTAATTATGTAGCACAAAACATGCATAGATGGCAACAGGCAGGTCATGTAGATTGATATCCATGCCTCTCCTCAAAGCTCCAAACGGGTCTTCAGCGTCCCAAAGGCACATTCTATAACCATCCGCGCTCTGCCCAAAGAAAGTCCAAAATACTGCTCCTGAACAGTACTTCCTCCATCAGCATACTCCTTCATCAGGTACGGCAGTAAGGGGTGTGCAGGATCGCCCAAAATATAAACAGGAATGGCTGCTTCATTGTCAACAACTTTCTTTGGACATGGAGGAATGTTTAAATTTTTTATGTTGATTATAGTTGAGTTGGAAATAATACGGGCGTCATGGACACTTCCTGGCCACTTTACAACCATCCATAAAACAGTATTTGTAGTCACATGTTGCCTGGATATTTAAGGTAAAATGACCCTTTCTGTTCACATAATCAGTGGAATTTGCTGAAGGCTGCTTAATCCCCACATGTGTCCCATCCACTGCACCCATGCTCTGAGGGAGGCCATGGATCTGTTCAAAATGTTCCACTAGTGAATGCACTGCACTTTAAGTTGTTGGCACTTGTATGAACCGGGGTCCCAAGTACACTGCTATTGTTCGACACACCTGGCTGACAATGTTTGACACAACCTGTTTTGGCCAAACAAATGCATTAGCCGTTTTCCGTAATCTGCCCTCGTCAGCTAAATAGTAAAGCGTGCATGTAACTCTTTTGATCACACTGACGGGGGATCGCAGGATAGTGGACTGCCCCTCGATATGAGGACGTAATAACTCTGACAGCGACAGGAGTGAGGACCGTGACATACAGAAAGTGTCACGCCATTCCTTTGGGAGTATGACTTCCATCTCAAAGTTTTCCCCCAGCTGGCAGTGCGTCCCGGTCTGACACCGTCCAAAACCGGTGTCTACGATTGCGGCGAGGAGCATGCCTTCATGGAGCTCGTTCAGAATACAGCAGCTAGGATCTTAACAGGTACCAAAAGGAGGGAGCACATAACTCTGGTGTTAAAATCACTCCACTGGCTCCCTGTGGAGTACAGAATAAAGTTTAAAATCCTTCTCTTAACATATAAAGCCATAAATGGCTCTGCTCCTTCCTATCTCCAAGACACGTTAGTGTCATATCAACCAAGCCGAGCGTTGCGCTCACAAAACGCCAGACGTTTAGTGGTTCCTATGGTCTCAAAAATCACTGTTGGCGGCAGAGCATTTAGCTACCAAGCTCCTTTACTGTGGAATCAGCTTCCCATTTATGTTAAGGAAGCAGATACGGTCTCCACAGTCAAGGCCAGGCTTAAAGCACTCTACTTTAATTTAGCATATAATTAGGTAATATATGGTGTATATATTACATATATATGCTGTACTTATATATTATGTTATATATTATACAATATATGTATTATGTTGTGTATTGTGTTATGTTGTATATTATGTTATATATTATGCTTTATGTTTTGTTATGTATTATATATAATATATATAATATAAGATAAGATGTGCTTTATTTATCTCACAGGAGAAATTTACATGTCACATTTGGCATGGATAGAGACACTCAGATTGTGCAAAAGGAGGAAATGTGTAAACATGTTACATGCAGGATATATGTACAATAAAAGTGACAAGTGTCAATTGGAAACAGTGTCAATAGTAGTGCAGGTTTTCACCCAGTGATCATTTAAAGTGACTTATTGTACAGTCTGACAGCGGTGGGGATAAAGGCCCTGCGGTAGCGCTCCTTCCTACACTGAGGGTGCCTCAGTCTTCCACTGAAGGAGCTCCTCAGCTCCTCTACAGTCCTGTGCAGTGGGTGGGAGGTATTGTTCATGATGGAGGTGGCTTTGGCTAGCACCTTCCTGTCCCTCACCTCCTCCACAGAGTCCAGGGAGCAGCCCAGAGTGGAGCTGGCCCTCCTGACCAGCTTGTTCAGTCTGTTTCTGTCCCGCTCTGTGCTGCCCGGGGCCCAGCACACGGCAGCGTAGTAAATGGCAGAAGCTACCGCAGAGTCATAAAAAGTCCTGAGCAGAGGCCTGCTCACTCCGAAGGACCTCAGCCTCCTCAGAAGGAAGAGGCGACTTTGGCCCTTCTTGTGCAGGGCGTTTTTATTATGGGACCAGTCCAGTTTATTGTTAATGTGAACACCCAGGTACTTGAAGCTGTCCACCAGCTCAATGTTCTCCCCCTGGATGCTCAGCAGCGTGTGGGAAAGTGGTTTTCTCCTGAAGTCGATGATCATCTCCTTGGTCTTACTGGTGTT